GGGGGGGGAGTGAGTGTGGGGGTATGTGGGTGGGAGTGAGTGACTATGTGAGGAGGTATACGGTCTGCTAGTGCAAGGGCTCCAGGAGGGAACAGAGAACTCCACATGGGAATTAATGTCATTCATACACCCTGCGGAAATGACTTTTCAAATGCATATAATCTGAAGCATGCAAATGAGAGGCTTGCTTCACCCTGTTTAATATGAATGATCGGCCCTTGAATAGCTATTATTACACGCCACATTGCAGCAATTATGTTGTTCACTGGTTGTCTTCTGCACCCCCCCCCAAAAAAAGGGGGGGCAGAAAAGAAAGGGAGCTCTAGGCTTTCTTCTCTCTTCCTCTTTCCCTGTGGCTTTCTCCAAACTTGTATTACCCAGCTGTTTGATTAGTGACTCAGTAGTGTTTGTGTGTGTGTGTGTGTGTGTGTGTGTGTGTGTGTGTGTGTGTAAATACATATGTCTACAGGGGGAGTGACCTCGTCCTTCCTAGGAGGGCAACTGTTGGATCCTTCTTCCACATCTGTCAGATTCTGCCCACTGGACCCTGAACCCCGATATAGTTTTGAGTGTCAGCATCAGCCAAGAAGATGGAGGCCTGTGAATTGTTCCCCTCCCTTTCCTTCTTCATTCCCCAATCACATTTTCATCAGGCCTGGTTCTGAGTCTGGGAAGGAGTGGAAGGCCCTGCAGTCTGGCCGGTGGTGGCCAGAGGTGGGGGTCGGCTCTCTTGGTGTGAACTGAGCCTGTGGAGGAAGGCCACAGAAGTCCCATCAATCACACCTCAGCTGCTTGCCCTCAGGCTGACACCACCATTAAGGCTGGAGACCAGAGTGCTCAATCTCTTCCAAACCATCACCCCTACCAGGGCCAGGTCCCTGCCCCTGCTGCAGCCGCCAGCCACATAGCCTCAGCCCCCCTCCCCTTGGGGTGACAGGAGGCTGGTCTGGGTTGTAGCACAATGTGAGCATGAACCCACGGGGAAATTCACAAACATAGGAGCCACAAGCACATAGACACACACACACACACACACAATAGGGACACAGACATAAATCCTTATGAATGGATGTGGTCATTTTCTCTTCATTGCTTCCCTGTTGCCACCCAAATAAAACTCACACTCCTTTGGCTTTCAAGGCCTCTGATAATCTGTTGCCACCCTTCTGTATTCTTCCATATTCTTCCTTCATCCAAACTAGATCGTGTACCTTCCTTCTTTCATGCCCCAGTGCCTTTCCTTATATGGCTGTATATATTTTGCCCTCTGCAACCTGTTGAATTCTTAACCATTCTTTCAAGCCCAATTCAAACCCAAAAAGCCTTCCCTGATATCCCAGGTTGTTAATGACCTTTCCTACAGGTGACTCAAACTTTGCAGCTCCCTAGTACACTTATGTGGGACATCAAGGGGAACTGGAGTCAGAAAGACTCAACTTCCCGAGTTCAAATCAGACCCCAGACACTTATTATATGTGTGACCCTGGGCAAGTCACTTAACCCTGTTTACCTCAGTTTCTTCATCTGTAAAATGAACTGAAGAAGGGAATGGCAAACCACTCTAGTATCTTTACCAAGAAAACCCCAAATGAGATAATGAAGAGTGAAATGACTAAAACAACTGAACAAGTACACTTACAAATTATTTTCTATTACAGTTATCTGGGTTATGTGCAGGATCATAAGATTTAGAGCTGGGATGGATCATCTAGTCCAACCCTCTACCTTTACTGGTAAACTGAGGCATAGGCAGAGTACATGACTTACCTAAAGTCATATAGCTCGTTAGGAACAAAGCTAGAACTTCACTCCAGGTTTCTTGATTCCAAGTCCAGGGTGCTTTCCACTACATTTCATGTCTTTCTAATATTCCCTGTGAGTGCAGGAACAATCCAATCTAACCCTTAAGAAGCATTTATTAAGCACCTACTATGGACAAGGTACAAGGCTAGATTTTAGGGACACAAAGAAAAATGAAAATCGGTCTCTGTCTTCAAGAAGTTTGCATTGTACTGGTAGGATACAATGTGTAAACATATTCATATACACAAATTTACTTGAGGTGGGAAAGAGAATAAATAAATAATGGGATCAAGAAATTCAATTAAGAGGTGGCATGTGAGTTGACCTTTGAATGAAGCTAGAGAAATAGAGGGAGTATATTCTAGGCATGGGGGAAAGGCTGTGCTAAGAAAGGCATGAAGAATATAACCTATATCAAATTCAGGAAGATGGGAGGGGAGGGAGAAAAAATTTGGAACTCAAAATCTTGTAAAAATGAATGCTGAACATTGTCTTTACAAATAATTGGGGAAAATGAAATATTATTTAAAAAATAAAATTTAAAAAAAGTTACAAAGGCAGGAGATGGAATGCTGAGTTTGGCCTATAGCAAGTAGACCAGTTCATGGTACCATAAACCAAAGACTTTGGACTTTGGAACCCATCTAGTCTAACCCCTTCATTTAACCCTTGAAGAAACTGAGATCCAGGGAAATTAAGTTGGCCTGGACAATAGAATAGGGGGTGAGAAGGGAGGTCTTGTCTTATCTAATCTTTATATCTCTTCCCTCCCTCCCCCGCCCCGTACCTACTACTGTGCTTTGCACACAGTAGGTGCTTACTACATATTTGTTGAGTTGAAATGCAGCACCTAAAATCATAGGATTATAGATTTAGAGATGGGAGGAATCTTAGGAATCCAATCCAACCTCCCCAGTATACAGGTGAGAAGACTGAGGCCCAGAGAAGGGCAAATGACTTGCCCAAGATTATACATTAGTAAGTAAGACTCACAGGATTCAAACTCAGGGCTTTTGTTTCCAAATCCATCACTTTCCCCATAGAATTTGACCTGAAGGTCTCCCCAGTCTTCTCACATCTCAGCGACAAGGGTCATCTACAAAGACAGAAACCTGAACCCAGCAGTTCTAGGTCAACCAAAGAAAGGCTGGGAATTTCTCCTTTCAGGGAAGGGGGAAAAATCCTGAGGCCATAACTTTGGCAGAGGCTAGAGTTGCTGATGTACCCTCTCAATATTTGACTCTTTTCCAACTGTTCATTCCCTAATTTTCTGTGAAGCTATCACAAAACAAGATCGGAAGAACAGCCCTCTGGCCTAGGTGTCCCAGGTTCTAAATCAGAGACCCTGGGGAAAGATATATCTGGCCCTTTCCCCAAAAGAAAAGTGGAATTGATGAGGAGTAGGGGTGGGAACAGTTTTGGAGAAGTAGAGAACAGTTCTATGAGCTGGTGTAATTTAGAAGGGTAGCGGGACACTTCTCTTCTCCTAGATATATAGAGACAGCCTGATAGAATGGGGAAAAATTCCAGCTATGCTACTAACTAGTTGTATAACTAGTTATATGTATCATTAACCCCTCAGGGACCTCAGTTTCCTCACCTGTAGAATAGAATGGGGAAGCGGAAGAGAAGAAGGCTCTGACTCTTTTTTATTAATTGTATCCCATCACTTAGCACAATGCCTGACACATAGTAGGCACTTAATAAATGTTTATTGGATTGGTCAGTCTCTAAAGTCCATTCTAGAACTTAATCCTATAATTTGGTTTCTACACCCCCCTCCCTACATTAATTTCCAGGGGTGTCCAGAGTCCTTAATTTCTTCCTATCACCCTCTCCCTCCTCCCCCACCTCCACGCCACCCCCACCTTCACACACTTTGAACTTCTTCCTCCTGTGAATTTTTGAGGAGAGTCAGTTGGGAACAGGGCTGGGCAGGCCTGGAATACAGCTCATCTAAGCTCCTAAGGGCCTTATCCTAGGAACTGGAGCACATAGATGTTAATAGGTTTTTAACAGGGAGTAGGAGAGTAATGCCATCGCTCCTTTGCCTTCCCCCTGCTCAGCCCTTCCAGTACTGGGGTCTCCACAAGCCCAAGAGAAGACTAGGGATGGAAGACTCAGCTAATACCAGCTTCATCTGGGGATGCCTCTGCTCTCATTCCTCCCCCCCCACTTCTTCCTTGGCATGGGCTTGGGGGTTGGGGAGCTTCAGGCCAAGAGGGAGGAGGCTACAAGCAAGGGGATGTCTGCCTGTAGAATTTGGGGGAGGGGGTTATGTGGGGTGGGGGTGGTGCTTGAGAAGCAGACTCTAGTTGGGGCATGTGGGTATCAGGGGCAGAAAACTGCCTTGGGATCGAGAGCCAGCCCTGCTGGTCCAGCTCCCGAGTCTCAGCCCCTCCTCTCTCCCCTACCCCACCTCCCCATCCCCGTCCCCATCCCCTCCTCCAGGTCCCATTAGAGCGACATGATGGTGGAATCCGCCTCGGAGACAATCAGGTCGGCCCCGTCCGGTCAGAACGGAGTCAGCAGTCTCTCCAGCCAGAGCGATGGTGGCGGTGGTGGCGCTGGAGCCGCAGGAACTGTGACAGGAGCAGGAGGAGGAGGAGGAGGAGGAGCAGGGAGGGATGGAGGAGCAGGCGGGGAGAGCAACGGCGAGATGAGCCCTGTGGAGCTCTTGCACTTTCAGCAGCAACAGGTAGGAGCCGTCTCTCACTCCCCTTCCCCCACCCCAGCTCCATTCCCCCACCCCCACCCCCTCATTCATTCTCCCCCTCCCGTTTCTGCTCCATCCGTCTGTCTCCTCTGATCCCTCAGGCTGGGGGGAGGGGAAAGAAGGAGGAGAACTGGGCCTTACTCCCACCCCTGGCTTAATGAGGAGGGAGCTTCAGCCCAGTGACAAACTGCCTTTCTGCCATCCCTCCGGCCTCATTTCCCTGATCTCGAAAAGGTCCAATCTTCTAGCGCCCCTGCCAGGCATCCGCTACCATTTAGTCTCCTAGGTGGCTGGGAACTGGCAGAGGAGATGGGGCCCAGGGGGATGGGTTAAGTCTAACTTCAAGGAGGCTCCCTTCGGGAGGAAACTCTAGGGGGTGGGGCTTGGATGGAGCCTGAATTGACTGGAGAATTACTGTGCCCTCACCAGGGAACTAGAAAGACCAGAGTCTGTGTGCACTTTTAGCATGAGTGGATAGGTGGTTTAAGGACCATGTGGCTCATTTCCTGGGTATTCTGTGATTGAGGCTACAGGGTAGGGATTTGCCTACTTCGATCTTCCCAGAAAGGTATAGTGAAAAGAGACTTGGGTTCAAATCCCAGCTCCACCACATACTGTCTGTACAATCTTGAATGAGTCACTTCTCCACTCCCTGGGTCTGTTTTCTTGTCTGTAAAATTGGAGGC